GTGCTCTATCTGATTTTCAAGTGGTAAATATTTGCTCCCAAGTTGTAGACTTTCTATTCACCTCACTCATTGTTTCTTTTGCTGAGAAGCATTTTAGTTTGAATCCATCCCATTTATTGATTCTTGATTTTAATTCTTGCACTATAGGAGTCTTATTAAGGAAATAGGGGTCTAATCTGATATGATGAACATTTGGCCCTACTTTTTCTTCTATTAGATACAGGATCTCTGGTTTAATTCTTAGGTCCTAGATACACTTTGATTTGAGTTTTTTACATGGTGAGAGATGTGGGATTAATTTCATTATGTTGCATGTGGATTTCCAGTTTTCCCTGCACCATTTGTTAAAAAAAGCTATCTTTTCTCCGATGTATGTTTTTGGTGCCTTTGTCTAATATAAGATAACTGTAATTGTGTGGATTAGTCTCTGTGTCCTCTATTTTGTACCATTGGTTTACCAGTCTGTTTTGGTGCCAATACCATGCTGTTTTTGTTACTATTGCTCTATAGTATAGTTTAAGTTCTGGTATAGTGATGCCACCTGCTTCACTCTTCTTGCTAAGGATTGCTTTATTTTTAAGAAATTTCCTTTGGATTAAAAAGATTGAATCACTGTGCTCTCAGTGAGGGGCAGATGAAGATGCAGGGAGTGACAAGGAGCCCTGGTGCCAAGAGTAACTTCAGCACCCACTGCCCAGAGAATAACTAATATTAGTGCTCAACCCCTTTGAATTGTTAGATGCACTGTCTGTTCTGCTTCTCTGAAATTTCCCTCACTCTTAAATATTTTGAATAGGAAAAAACATAAAATAAAATGCAGGTAAGCACTCTTTGCTTCTCTATAATCTTACTTCAGAATCACTTGGGACATTTGTTCAAAAAAATAACAAAAAATTAAAAGCTAAAATCCCGGGCCCCACCCTCCAGAAGTCTAGCTTCATCCAACTGGTGAGGGCCAGGAATGTTATGTGCCAAATGATTGTCATGCAGTTCAGAAGCCACTGTGAAGGGAGAAGGTCCTTAGGGAGATCACACTGGGTGACTGTGGCTTTGAGCAGCTAGTCTAAGGGGCCATAAAGAGCAAATGAAAATGCAACCTAACATGGCATACAGAAGGCATGGTGTTATCCAGCTGCTGTCAAGATCTGCTACTACTAGCTAAGGGTGGTGGCCGCACCTGTAAATCCAGCTCAACTATACCTGAAGCTGAAGCAGAATCCGAAGTTCAAGAATAGCCTGATAACCTTATTAAGATTCCCATCTCACCCAAAAAAAGAGATCTCCTAATGAGAACTGTACACAACCCCTTAGATCATGATCTACAAATAAAACTGCATCTTAGGAATGCAGAGGTATAGGCATGAATATATAGGATATGTTCAGCTGTCCAGACTCCTGAATGAAATAAGGAATGGTGTGCCTCCTGGTGAATATTCTTGCAATATACCAGTGCCAGGGCTTCTGTAAACATAAGCATACTTTTCCCTTATAATGAAAGAACATTAATGTTTCAATTAAGACTTGGAAAAATTAAAATATTAAATCAGGGTTAGGGGATGGAATTAGTTGAAAGAATATTTGGTTCCTGGCCAAGTGAACAGCTACCATTAAAAAGTTTGCTGTTTTATTACTAATAGGGCATT